GTTTGTTTCTGTTTTTTTATCGGGAGTTAAAAGTAGTTCTGCCAATTCGTGAGTTACAAGCAGCTAATACAGTAATTTATTAGACATTGCATTAAATGAACAACAAATGACCAAACACGTATAAGTTGGTGTTTAAAAAAACAGTTTGGACTTGTTTGTTTGGATTTTGCTTCTTTAAGGATTTTTTTTTTGCTTTTTGTTTGTTTCTTTGTTTTTTACCGGAGACGCTCAGTCAAAGGAAATTCTGTCAATTAGTGAGCATTAAGCTGCTTTTTAGATTTTATTTCTGATCAAATCCTTCTTTAAAAACCAAACACCATTTCTACAATCACTAATATTTAATATATGTTTTAGTGGGTGACAGGTTTAGCTCTTTGTTTAAGTCCCCCTTTAGTTTTTACGAGAGTTGCCTTTCTTTTTATTGAAGTTATGTAGATTTGTTGCATTTGGCTTAAATTGTACTGAATTAGACTTTTTTTTAATTAAATATGCAACTAAAGTCTGAACCCTCACCACCCCCTATCCATGTTTCACCCATCATTGTCTCCAAACGAGCATTCGCTGTGACAACTCAAATCTTCCCTTCAGTCGACGGAACAATAGAGCCCGATAAAGTCCCTCGGAGGGCCCGAGGGTGTGGGTTAATTTTTGTATGAACGTGCATTCATGAACCAGCCACGCACACACTGATGTCCACATGCATAGTGGCCACAATCTGTCTGTCCCAGCACCCTCCTCTGTCAGGAAGTGAGCTGGGCTCGATGGGAGCAGTAAGTCCAGGGAGCTTAGTGACCCCGAATAGGCTCTATTGTGACCTTTTATGCAGCAATGGATTTGAACCTACAAACTGACCAGTCTGCTGGAAGGTGATCAGGATAGAAGGTCCAGAAGAGACGGGCAGAGAGCCGACGAGCTGGCATGAAAACAGACAGGGATGCCAACTGGCAAAGGTACGAGACAGAGCTGGGATTCAGCGAGGGGAAAGATGATCGCTGATAAAATTGGTCTCCAAGGCAAATCTGTGCAAAACAGATGACATGTAATAGCCTGCAGTTTTAGAACTAGCTATGAATAACATCTTTTAAAGTTTATTTCAATCATAGAAATAGTAGTGTCACAACAGAAGTGCAATTGAGCATGAATATGACAATATTTGGCTAAATGTTTGATAAAAAGCTACAGAAATAAAGACCACCCTGAATAAATCAAAATAAAATGATCAAAGCGTGTCTCAGAAGTAATGTCAAACAAGTTTTACAGTAATGGCAAATACTTTTCCCTAAGCATAATGTATTTATACACACACAGGTTTGTCATTTCCTTTCATTTCTGCTGTTTATCAATTGATTACTTTCTAGTCATGCAGGAATATAAATATGATCAAACTAAATCAGAAAACTCAACTCAATTCATTTCCTTTTCTGATAGTTATTAACTAGGTGATCACTAAGAAAACTCTCAGAAGTTTAGATTTTATTCATTTGTCAAAAGCAGGAAGCGCACTCTGTTTTTATTCACATGAGCCTAAAGATTAAACAGTGTTCAAGAATAAATTCTCAACATAAGTATGAGTAAAATTACACACTTGAAAGAAATACTCATATAAGTACAAGTACCCAAAAAATATAATTACATTAATGTATTTGTAATTCATTACTTCCACCCCTGCTTTCTAGTTTTTATATTCCTTTCACATTCCTTGTATCGTTTCCTCAAATGACTGAGGTGGGGTGGACAAAGATTATTCTATGGTGGACAAAGCCACCAATGGCCACCCCCTTGCTCCACCATTGCACCTGGTGGTGGATAAAATTGTTCCCTTTGCTCTCCAGGATCCATCACTCTGCGCTGCCTCGGACAAGAATAAAATAACCTTCCTCTGTTCTTATTCAGAGTGTAACTCCTACACCCACTTGAATATTTTGCACCAGTAACATTAAGGTTTAATTGCAATCCCTGTTCAATTCCAGTCCCGAAAAACACTCATTGTGAAAACTACAAATCCCAGGGGACATCAGTGTACCTCTTGCTACAGGATGGCCCACCAAAGTGCATCTTAATATGGAACTGTTGTGATACTTTCAAGAAAGTCACTGGATGACATTTAAAATATATCGTATAAAATAGGGATGTACAATATTGGATTTTTGGCCGATATGTTAAAACTTATTTGGCCGATAACCGATACCAATACCGATATTTTTCCCCTAGACCCACTTACAGAGACTACATAGCATTCTCTGCTGTGGAATTAAAATACTACATTACTCTGCATGGTCTTTATCAGTTTGGCCTGCTACCAAATGCAGATGCTGAAAATGATGTAACACTTCAACTTGGATTATGTTTAATGTCGAATTTATTCATGACATTTACTCTAACACAATGACAACAGGGCAGCACGGTGGCGCAACTGGTAGAGCTGCTGCCTCTCAGCGAGCAGGTCCTTGGTTCAAACCCCGGTCCAGGGGCCTTTCTGGGTGGAGTTTGCATGTTCTGTCCGTGCATGCGTGGGTTTTCTCCGGGTACTCCGGTTTCCTCCCACAGACCAAAAAATATTCATGTTAGGCTGATTGGTAACTCTAAATTGTCCCTAGGTGTGAGTGAGAGAGTGAATGGTTGTTTGTCTCGTTTGTCTCTATGTGGCCCTGTGATGGACTTGCGACCCATCCAGGGTGTACCCCGCCCCTCGCACAGTGATTGCTGGACATGGGCACCAGCGACCCCCGTTACCCAAAATGGATTAAGCGGGTAAAGATAATGGATGGATGGATGGATGATGACAGCACTCGAACAGTGCAAATATGTAAATTTTCACAAACCTAGACTCAATGGTGCACATGACGTTTTAATGTTGTGCTGGCGCTGCAGCCATCCTTGTCACTGGGTTGTCATACAAAAACAGCACCGCACATACATATATACATATATATATATATAAACATGAACAGCGCCTTTTGTGTCTGTGAGTTATTTTGATGGAATGGCCGATTTCCGATATTTGACTTTATCGCTAATATCGTCCGATACCGATACTATGCCAATAATGTTGTGCATCCCTAGTATAAAGTTTAGAAAACACTTCAGAAGATGGATGCTGTAGGACAATATACTGTGGGGAAATGTGGAAGTAAAGGACAGTGGATCACTGAGACCTGTAGGTGAACGTGAAATAAAGCAGGTGATGTGGAGGGTGAGGCGTGAGAGAAAGTGGCTCCCCATGGAAAAGCCACATATTTTCTCTGGGTGAAACCAGGTGTTGAGAGTCACCTCTGGGACAGACAGCTCTGGCACAGCCCTGTTATTACGCCTCTCTTCCTGCCCTCCGGGCCACGTGGGCTGGGAGCTGCAGCCTCACAATCTGGGATCACCAACACTTTAAAGGCTGTGGTTATTACACAGTTACACGTAAAGGGACTTGATTTTACACGCTGTCGTCCACCACAACATCAAACAAAAAGCCTTGCCGTCCCTGCAGAAAGGAACGCCGTTCATGCCACAGTTTTGTAGCTGTTTTGATTTAAAAAAAAAAACAGCATGACACTGTCACCTTCATATTTCATGTTGTGATGAACTCTCAACTGCCATCACATCAAATTTTAACATATCTGTATTCACTCATATCACTTAGCTGTTGCGTCCTTCTTAAATTGGATTGGCTCAAAAAGTGAACCAGTTTTAGATGTCCGTCCTTTGCTTACCTGATGTAAGTTTCTTTCCAGTTGTCCAGTGGTTTACAAGATATTTTACTAACAGTACAAACAAATAAACATGCATGCAGGCACAGACAGAATCGTTATCGCTTGTCCTTCACCCTCTGCAGCGGGTGATGGAAAGAAGTATCCAGTCACATGCACTCATACAGGCACAGCCACGCTTCAGCTCTATTGATGACTTGTAAATGTGAGCAGTGCATGATCTTTATGGATCAACCTTTGCACCTTATAATAAAAAACAATTTACAGAGGCAACATCACAAAGATCTAAAGCTCCTAAAAATATTTAAAAAAAAATGTGTTCAAATTTGACACAAAGTCTACTTTTTAGCATCTGGTCTAACCCAAAAGCAACGGTCTGTCTCCGACCCCTCTCCTCTCCCTGTTGCATCATCTGTATGAGCTAATGGCAGGCTGTCAGGAGTGCAGCTTGTTTTGAGAATGTGTCTGATGGAATCAGACTGAGACCAGCCTCCTAATGAAGGGATCCTCCTAACCTCTTGAACTTGAACCATGAGATTTTATGAACCAAAAAACAAGGTTCTGTTGTGTTTTTATTTATTTGCATTAAAAAGTACATAAAATGAAATGAAAAACTAAACCACTTACTCTGGAACCTGTAGGTAAAGTTTGCTCTTTAACTCTGGAGCCCCCTGCACCCACCCTGGAACTAATGGTGTCTAATTAAAGATGGCTCTGAGAGGACTGTCCTTCTAGGAATAATATAGAGCGCTATATAAAATAAATACAAGTGTTGCCAAAGCTGGAAATACAGTAGTTTGCCGATGGGCGTGTAACGTGTCATACTTTTATTGATTCTTTAGATCAAATATTTATCAACACATACTAGGCATATAGGTGTTTTTTTAATTTATTTACCGTATTTTTCAGACTATAAGGTGCATTAAGTGAAACAAAACAGTCAAAGTCAAACTTTATTCAACTCATTCACAATAACCACATAAAATCAGTTCGAGGTCAGTAAGCTCAACCAGAGTTAATACATAAGGAGCACCTGATTATAAGGCTCACTGTCGATTTGTGAGAAAATGAAAGGATTTTAAGTGCGCCTTATAATCCAAAAAATACAGTATTTATTTGATGTGGGGCTGTTGGATTATAAATCACTACAAAAGAAGAAGAAAAATAAGATAATTCCCACATTTCAGCATATTTTTATGTAACAAAAACATGTTGACTCTCTGAATAGATTATCTAAATAATATGCCTTGCGTACAGTTATTGTGTTTGATCCACATCTGAATAACGTCTCTTTTCCCTCAGGGTTCTCCAGGGCTTCTTGGTGCAATTGGTGAAAGTGGACCAGAAGGGCCACGCGGGGTGCCGGGGCCTCAAGGACCTAAAGGAGAAAAGGGCCACCTTGGAATTAAAGGACCACCAGGGTCCAAAGGAGACATAGTGGGTGACATAAAATATTGATTGATATGTTATTTTTACATGTTTTTCCAGTAGTTGACAAGTGATTTTTTTTATTTTATTTTGATAAATATTAAATAATCAGCAATGTGAAATTACTGACAGGCGACAAACAAAAAACATTGGCTTTGCATTTGTAATGGCACTCATCAAGTAAGTGTGCAGTCAGTATTTAAAGTGCAGTAAGTGGAAGTCGTAACACATCGGAGTAGTTGTTTACTAAATATTAAATGGTAACGTTTAGAAAACTGCTGCAGAACCTCCAAAAATCTTCTCCAGCGAAGTGTTCCTGGTAGTGATGGACTGTTTGAAGATGAAGAAAAAATAAATTTAAAAAAATCACAAAGTTTTAGAAGCACTGTGTTGCAGCGTGATTCGTTTGGCATATGTCACGTGATCAGTGATGTCTGTAATTCCAAACTCGTTTTTTGTTGTAAATTAGATACAATTTATGAAACTGTTCTTGTCAGGTTGTAGATTCAAGCTGCATTTCATACCTTTGGCCACCAGATGGCGCCAAAAAAAACAGTGTTGCAAAACTTCATGAGCTTCAAAAAATCTTAATTTGCCCATCGCTATAGTATGCTGAAGATTATACTTACTGAAACAGAAGTCCAACAACAGACAATTGAGCAGTGAAGGCTTGTTTATGTGTGTGAGGTGAAACTCAGTCCACGTGTTTATTGGAAGGTAAAGATTATCCAACCATGATCCATGTCCATCACTGGCCAGAAGTCAATCTGTAAGCATCAGAACTAAAATGGAGCATTTGGGAAGACAGTGAGCTTTTTTTCTGCTTCACATTGTCATCTACCTGGATAGATGAAGGCAACAAGTTCATGTTCAATTTCAAATAGGTTTATATTACCACTCGCATCGCATGTGGAGCATGAGGTGGAACGAAATTGTGTACACAGGGTCCCAGTAATCCACATCCATTGTTGGATGCAACAATAGCAAAAATATAAAGTGTAAAAAGAAACAGTAATACGGATCCAAGATATAAACTCAGAAATACGCTAAACATTAATAGTGCAAAACAATATGCTGCACAAACATGAGTCTGTGTGAGCAGATGAGCACGCATGAACACATGCACAAGATGCACAATGAGAAAATGACCAGACAAGAATGCAGTTTAAAGATTTGGCCACCATCATTTTGGACAAACTTTGGATTTTGGCGTTCATCTTGTTACTTTGACCTTTACTGACCCAGTGAGGTTCCTTGGTGCTATGTAATGACAGTAGTGTGGTCATGAAAGTGTTCACAGTTCCCTCGTGTCAGTCACAGTGCGTCCTCTTTGTATTGCAAGAATGTTGGACATGTTCAAATAATGTACTAAACAAATTATGTCTCAAAATAGTTACAAACATCAGTAATTCTTGGGCCCTAGAACTATTTTTGACATGTATGCAAAATTTGGATTGGCATCTTCTGTCAGAGTCAGTAGCTCTGCCACATAAAACCCACACCACGGTATGAGGAGGCTCAGAGGGTAGAGCTGGTGCCTCAGTGAAAAGATTGCTGGTTCAAATCCCAGCTGGGGAGCTTTCTGGGTGGAGTTTGCATGTTCTCTCCGTGCAAACGTGGGTTTTCTCCGGGTACTCCGGTTTCCTCCCACAGACCAAAAACATGCATGTTAGACAGATTGGTAACTCTAAATTGTCCCTAGGTGTGAGTGAGAGAGTGAATGGTTGTTTGTCTCGTTTGTCTCTGTGTTCCTGTGATGGACTGGAGACATGTCCAGGGTGTCCCCCGCCTCCCTCACAGTGATTGCTGGACATGGACACCATTGGCCCTCCGACCCAGAAAATAAGAAGTGGGTAAAGATGATGAATGTATGTATGTATGGATGGATGTATGGATGTATGGATGGATGGATGGATGGATGGATGGATGGATGGATGGATGGATCCACAAGTCCCAAGTAAGTTGTCCTTATGTCTGAATCCAATGGACATTGTAGATTTTGTAAGTTGGACAGGTCAGAGGACTCTGGCATTAATTCAAGGTTCTTTATTTGTCATTCCACCACATGTGCTACTTGTGGTGGAATGAAATTATGTACACAGGGTCCCAGTTACATCCAACAAAAGTATTAAAATGTAAAAGAAAAACAGCAATAAGATCTAAGATATGAACTTAAGAAAAATGCTAATAAAAACAATACACCAAGCACTAGTAGTATAAAATAGCATAAAAACAATACACCCAACAGAAACAGCACACAAGTCTGTGTGAGCGGATGAGCACAAATTAATACAGTCAATATTAGAATATTTTGTTGGCTTTAAGCTTGAGCCTTAGTGCTTTAAGTGTATAAATACGTATAATGTACCGGTCGTTGCCAAAACCACAAACTGATCAAATGAATCTTTTGTCCAATCATATTGGAATGGTTTCTGACTCCCAGCTAGCTGCATGTTTTTGGCCACCAGATGGTGCTATTCAAACTGATTATTAATCAATCCAGTGATTTCATTTTTTGCTTTTCACTTTTGCAGGGGCGGATGGGAGTGCCGGGATTTAAAGGAAGTGATGGAGTTCCTGTAAGTGAAGCAGAAATACACAAAACTGATTAATTTCTGTGATGGGAGACTGTTTTTATCTTTTCCATTAAAGCTAAAATAAACTTATAGAAAGTTTAAATCTTATTAAATGATTTGAATGTTAGAAAAATTAGGGTAAATATGTTTCGTGTTTTTTGTCTTTCATTCTCAAACAATTTTTAAAAAATGTGTTTAAAGCTCAGTGATAATTGCAGATCAAGAATAAAAAATTTAAACGACCAGGTCATGTTTTTAGGAGAAATTTGAATTTTTTGTTGTTTTCAAGTATAAGATTGTGCGTGGATTGCAATAAATTCTCCTCTCCCATCATCAGAGTGTGAATCTCTCTCCTCCTGCAGGGTCACCCGGGTCAGCAGGGTAGTAGAGGACCACCGGGAAAGGACGGCTGTAATGGGACGAGAGGGGATCCTGGTCCTCCCGGCTTTGGAACAGGACTACCAGGGTTCCCTGGTTTTCAAGTGAGCTTTGCTTCTAATACCATTTTAGATTGTTTTCTGAAAGACTGACGCTGATGGTGTTTTTATCTCCATCAGGGGCCAATTGGGCCAAAGGGTCAGAAAGGAGAGCCTGTATACATCTCGGATAGTGGCGGTCCGGTAAGATGATCGACATTTAAACACGGGTTTGATGGACCAACTCATGTTCATTTACACACACCAGTGCAGAAAAACTGCTGGCTGTATCATCTAAATGTGCACACACTGTTTCACACCAATGTGAGGCGTTTCCAAAAACCTCAACTTTGAGCAATGCATGAAAAAAACCTTTGATTTCAGAGAAGAGAGCGCCACAGCAGAAATGAACGATTCCAGTTACAAACATAGGGCGCAAATTATCAACGTCAGCTGTGGTGAAATAAAAGTAAAAACTTGTTTTCTGAGTTGCTTTTAGTTTATTTATCAAATTAATTATTCTTTTTTTTTAAATAATCAAATCAGAGATTTTCTGCTGCAGAATCACTTCCCATCCACACACAAGGCAAGATTTTACTAAAAAAAAAAAAAAAAAATCAATTTTTTTAAATAAATATTTTACAAGTGTTGATTTTTAAAAATTTTTTTTTTTTTTGTGAATCTATGTAGACTCCAAATACAGACACTAATTTTTGCACATGTCCACCATCTTATACTGTCATTATGAAACTTTGTTTATAAGCTAATTATTAAATACTTAAATACAATTATACCAAAGGTGTCAAATAAAATAAAAAGACCTACAATTATTTTAGGAAAACCTGTTTTTGTTCTCTTTATTATTATGTCATTAATGTGTGCGCTCTGCCATCTAGTGGCGTGGCGAGGTACTTCATTTTTTTATTAGAATGCGGAACGCAGTTTTTCTGTTGAAGACAAAAAAATTCAATTAAAAAATGAGTCATAGCAGTGTAGACCACGCCTTAGTTAATCTCCAGTGAGTTGATAGAAATATTGAAATGTGATTAAAAATATATATATATTTTTAATTAAAATCAACATATTTAGTCCAGCACATTTGATTGACAACAGACCAGCGTTAAAGTGGTTTTCCGACATTTAATTTATTTTACAGCAGCTAACTGTCAAAGATTCGTTAAACCTAAATAACCTGCACCCAGACAGACCTGAGAAGTTGTGTTTTTTGTGAGTAGATGACGTGGGGAACAGCTGCAACAGACCACTGGGATCCTGAGAATATCATTTATATATTAATGGACATTTATATCTAAAATGAAAATATGATTTCTGTGTTTTAAATGTTTATTGCTGAGTTTTTACTGTAAATGTTTTTCCTTTCCTCTTTTTTATTTAGGGTTTACCTGGTCCTCCAGCACCTGACGGCCTACCTGTAAGATTTTTGTTACAACACAGTATTGTTAACTTTCTTTTAGTACAGAAGAGTACAAATACAAACTGCAGTGTTGTATTTTAAATATGAAATAATTTATTAAACTTACTGTATAATGACACTTTAAAAAATGAGTTCTAAGTAAAGTTTTATCTCTGCAGGGTTTTATAGGTCCTGACGGTCCACCTGGTTTCCCCGGTCTAAGAGGACCTGATGGATTTCCTGTACGTAAACACGTTTCTGGTTTCCTTCAGCTCCTCCTGCATTAACGGCACACTTCATGAATACTTTTTATATTTTAATGCAACTTCTAAGATGTGATTAGACACATACAGTAAAAAGGTTTATAGTGATTTATAATCTGCAAAAAGTCTGAGGTAATGCTTTATAATAAATTGGTTCAGAAAACACAAAAACACTTTTTGAACACATATAGTAATAACTAATACTATAATTTAATAAAGTAATAACTAATACTGCCCATTAATAATCATATTTGATTGTTATCTTCGTTAGGAAATAAACAAAATTGTTTCTACAAGACTTTTTGTGTACATCATTGCAATAATTGTGCGTAAAATTGTTCAAAAGCATGTTTCCAATGTGAATAACAAAAGTATTTCTGTTACATAATAAGAGGAAAAACTTATTTCAACCTTTTATTAAAAAAAGCTTAGAGGTATTTTTCAGACTTGAACGTTGCAGATGGTTGTTCTTCATATTAACAGGAATAATCGAGCCAGAAATCTTTCTTTGTTTGTTTTAGGGGGTCCCGGGCCCTCCTGGTCCCCAAGGACCAATGGTAAGTTCAAGATATTATATATATATATATATATATATATATATATATATATA